GGTGTGCAAATGAGTACCCTTAGTCTTTGCTGCTTGTGACCGGGGTTGTATTGACAATTTAGAAGGTGCTGCTCAGTTACTGTGCAGATTTGACACAAGGTCCCGTGCAGATGTTTTGCTTTCATGTTATTTTATACAGAGAAATTGTAAGCTACCAGGAAGAGGACACTCTGAAATGACCTGATTTTGTAAGGTTTTGATCATATAGTTCTCCTAAACTTGAAAAAATAACTCTATGGGGTTTTTTTGCATGTGCTGTCTTAGAGTTGGCGGTGTATTTTAAATTTTTGAGAAGCCTTTTAGGTTCCCTTGTCATCTTGTCACAACCTCCTTTCTGCCTCTCAGAGTATATTTTTATTCTGAATTGGCCTCAGCAGGCTTAAAGTAGAATTAAAGCTGCCTTGGTGTGGAGAGGTGTGCTCAGTCCTTTGGTGACAGGGAGCCTTTAGATTAGGTCAAGTCCCATTGACTGCAGTCTTAGTAAAAACAACTTCCTCTGGGTGCAGAGGAGCAAAAAATAACCCATCACAGGTTGTTACTAAACAAAACCAGCCTTTAAGTGATAGCAAAACTTCATTTCCCCTAAGAAATGTCGTTAGCTGGTCTCTGCTAGTGTACCTGTGAGCCACTTTAAATCTTCTCAGAGTTCCCATCGTATTAATGATGAAGACTCAGATGAGAAACACTGAACCTGCGAACTACCAGAGGCATAATTACACAGATCTGTCCCAACTTCCAGATATTGAAATTAGTTTAATATTAAAATTTAAAATGTTTATTAACTACAATGAGATCCCAGCCCAAATCCAATAGTTTTTTAAAATAAATTATTTAATACCATTTTTCAGGTTTAAGGCTGCTTTGTTTTGTTAGTTGTTTTTTTTTTTTGATGTGCTCTTAAGTTACTGTGGACTCTTACAGGGTATTATTCACTGTCCTGCAGTTAAATTTATTTCACTATACATGCATCATGCAAATTTCCAGATTGAGTATTGAGGAATGCAAGCTGTTTAAAAATGGAGAATTTTCTTCTTTCTGGATGTTAATGTGAACAATTTTATGGTATTCCTG